TAAGATTTCTTAGTCTGGTACAGAGCATGTCATAGATAGCTTACTATGCTCTCTGCACTTTCTTAGTTGACATTCGTGTAAGTAATGATCAGGCTCATTACTGCTTATCGTCTGTGATCTTAGATGTTACAGTACTTAAGCGAATTATTGTCAGTTAGTACTTATTTTTGTTTCGTATGTCTTTCATCTTAATTTCAGTTACTTTTTATCGCAACGCCCATATTGTCTACCTGTAATTGTTAGTATGCTGCGAAACTCGCATCCTTCATCCCTCGGTGCCTGCCTTTACATGTCAGCTGTCTTACTGGTTCGACTACGAAAACCATTGGTTTGGAGTTGTCAAAACTTATCTAAATAGTTATATTCCTGAATTTCCTGAATACGTCGCCATCTTTGTTTTACATTACTTTTTTGTTAATATTGTAATCTTATTTGAATTTTCAAGATAAAACAATGTTAATTATTATTATTTATGTTGAATTTCCTTCATTTTAATTTATGTTGGTTTTCTTCGCAACGCCAGAACCATCATTATATGACCGTGAATAATAATAATGATGATAATAATAATAATAATAATAATAACAATGCAAAAACAATGGCAAAATAAGCCTCTTTATGGTGATTACTCTAACCATACCAAACAAACTGATATAAACAAACCCCGAACTTATCAGTGATTACGTAGTGTAGGGTTAAAAGCTGAAACCGAAGCTTTTATTCTTGCTGCACAGGACCAATTCTTGTTAACTAGAAATTAACAAGCACACATACTGAAAAATTGTGTTAACCCAAAATGCAGATTCTGTGATAAATATCCCAAAACAATTGGCCATCTTGTATCAGGTTGCACGATATTGGTACCCATTGAATATCAAACTCAGCATGATAGAGTAGGCAATATCAGCACTGGAAAATATGCAACTATTTTTGTCTTGTTTTACAAAAAATGATCAGTATAAAATGTCATGAAGCCATTTATGACCTAAGGTCAATGTTTGGCACCCGGAAGAAAATGTGTATACAACAGAAATCCAAGGAAATAATAATAATAATAATAATAATTAAATCAGGAAATTGTCACGAACCACTTATTACTGTGGCTGCAAGTCACTTCGACGTGATCTAATGGTTAGAAAGCTTGTCTCGCTAGATCAATTACGACAGAGTAGTGAGTACGATCCTCACTGGGTGCCTCATACTTTCAGCTTTGTGCCACATCTAAGCTACGCTTAGAAAATCTCTACAGCACTTTGACATGGTGTAATAGCGAGCTTGACTTGTTATATCAATTACGCGTGGGTAGTGTTCGATCCTCACTGTGTGCTAAAAACTTTCGGCTTTGTGTCACATCTCATCTATGCTTAGAAAATCCCTATTACTGTGGTTGCTATGTTAACTGACGAAAGGATATCAACGTGATTGCTGAAGGATAAGAGCAGAATCCGTTTGAAAATTTTAGTTTTTTGTTTGGCAATACAAAGAAGAACTAAGGCTCAAATTTCAAACAGAATCACATTAAAACTCACGAGAGTAATAGATATTTGCAAAGGTTAACTTAGTTTGGTACAAGGTAATAAGTTTGGGGCCTCTAGTGGGGATCAAACTCATTACAAATGTAATACTTTGCAAGACTAACTTGCTATTCATTATTCAGCGTCAAAGCATCCACTATATATTCATGTTTCTTGTTAATAAAGCGCGCCTTTATGTGATATCTTTTTAAGTTTCTTTTGCATTTACAAATATTTTGTTTTCTTCTTTAAAGCTTGTGTTATGCGTTCCTGCCACAACTTAAAGTGAAGTGGTAAATGTCTATGTCGAAATAAATCATTATGAGGCGAGGGAAGTGTCTTGTAGTGGGTACTTTGACTTCAGACTGGGGGATCATGTCACGATTGCTTTATTTATCTGTATCCCGTCAGGGTAGAAATTGTGACAGTAGATAAGCGTTTAATGAGAGCACGAAACTAGATTTCCACTTCATACAGAATTTAACACAAGGCTGACGATTTTAATGTCAGTTTTTCAAAAGTGCCTGTGGCAAGTTGGTAAAAACTGCAAACCTCAGGAAATGCCGCAACCAATTTTCTGTGTGGCTCGGAAACGGATTCACAGTGCCAAAGTAAAAGAGTTCATATTTCGTCTAAGCTAACAGGCTAAGAATAAAAATGACCCTCTCTGACTCAAAATGATGAGCCATATTGTTTGAATTGCGAACAATAGCATGTGTTGTATTTATTGTTTCTGATAACCATCGGTCCAAACAAAATTTAAGTCGTTTCTATTAGCGTAAAATACTTCAACAGATATTTCTAACAACAATATTTACAGAGCTATCAGAGCAGGGTACCCAGTGAGGATCGAACTCATTACAACATTGAATAGTTTGCTGATTAGATTAGTATACATCTTTCTAAGCCAGGCGCATTAATATTTAATATTTACTCGGCCGAGTCTGATACAAGGCCATGAGCAAAATCATAGTGATGATCGGACTTGTTCTATCAATGCAATTGTTTGCGAAATTAGTTACCTTAGTATTGCACCACAGTGATGCGGCCAATCGTTATTTTATAAGTTTAACTTAGACTGGCAAAAATCCACAATAGGAGGCTAACCTAGGATCGAACTAACTACACTAGCTAACTGTCCTGCAAAATGAAAAAAATATGCTTACTAACCATCACGCTACATCGAAGTAAATGTTATCAGGTTAGTAAACTGTTCTCTTTTGTCGTCTCCAAAAACAATTTGTAAATCGTAGGCTGTTCAGATTAAGGACATCACACTACTGATTATGCTTTTGTCAAAAGAAAGACTTGTCAACAATAACAGATCTTTGAGTCTGCGCCCTGTTCACGTGACTCCCTCACCCGATACGTACCGGCTGGCACAGAAAAAATTCATTATTCGTAATTATAGTGCACTTAGTGCAGAACGAACTAGCAGTTACTAGCAAACGCTTCAGTGGCTCAGATATAAGTACGTATTTATTGGGCTTATATTACTCTGGAACTAGGATAATCGTGAGACACCCAGTACGAATCAAGTTCAGTAGGAATATTTTATTGCTCTATGATAAACACTCTGGTAGCTTCAGTAGAAATGTCACAAATCTAGTCTCTCTCTCTCCCTATCTCTCTCTAAATGGCAATTCAAATATATTTAAGCTATTTATTTGCACCTCCTGCCACAAGGCCAATTATTTATGGTCTGCTTTAATAAGAACAAAACCTCCAAAAACACTCAGCTCTCACCAAAGACTAGTAAAATGGGTAATTTTTATCCGAGAGATATATCCATGATATCAATGGGAATTGAAGAAATTTTATCATCAACACCTGAAAATATAAACGGTTATCCCAAAAATTCGTGGTAATGGCGCACGCCCTAAAATCTTTAAAACTATCTTTTATTATTATTACTGACTTACTCGGCAATGAGAACAAAACGGGTAAAACATTATCATGATTTCTAAAATTCTAGCGAGATAAAATCAGGAGAGACAAAATGTTCTTGTGCGAAGGATTGCGGAATTCTTTTTTTTTTTTTTCCTTTTCATTCTATTCAGGAAACGATAGCGTTGCTGACAAATAGCGATTGTCATGTATATTTTTTTGATGATAGTGTTCTCAGTATAAATTTGTTTACATTTACTGTTGGCGAGAATATAGAAAAATTGAAACGGGCATAACGGTATCCTTTTCAAGTTGTTGAATTTGTGAATATTCAGTTCCTTACAAAAACATTTTGCTAGTTTTAAGTTGCCCCCCCCCCCCCCACACACACACACACCTTGCCTAAAACGAAGCTGAGACTCGGGGTAGAGATGAACAAGTTACAAAACACGGGACAACCAAACTTTCGTCGACATGTACCTGTAACGAGGATAGCAAGATTCATCGAACATATTGTCTTTATGTGTAAGATCCCGTTGCTATTATTTACAATGCTCTGTGATAAGACATAAGCAAATGAAATACCGTACATACTCGTGTATAAGTCGACTTCCTGTATAGTGCGACCTCTGAATTTTTTGTGAAAAACTTTTTTTCATATAGCTTGCGTATAATGCGACCCCGGCTTCTGATCAATATTTGTAGGCCTACCGTACTCAAATATTGTAGTACTGGGCATCATCCTGGATATATTTTATAGCAAGTAGTTTTTTTTTCTCACAAGGTTATACTAAAATCGTAAGAAAAACCTCTTACCGTAAAATATCTGATACGAAGACACTGTACTTTTATTTTAGTTTAGGCCTGACTACGGTAGCTCCTTTACCCTGAGCATGCCTCCCTCTTACGTAACTTAAGTTTCTTGCCTTTTGTTGCAATTTAAAATCAACAAATGCCTTATATAAATGAAGAATTAATATACATTTTTTCTTATCTTATCTATTTACATTTATCTTCGTTTCACAAGTGTTTACATCACTGAGATATTGCCTTTCCAATGACAACCTTTATATCAGGATTACTGGTATATAATGCCGAAGTACATATTTCGACTTATGCTACGATCATTCAAGTCATTGTAAGTAAAAAGATTCTAGACACATAGTCATACCAAGTTGGTTACGATCACCGAAAATGCATAAATTTTAACTCCTTCAGAAAAAATTACCTGTATATTGTGCAACTGGTCACCGAAAATGTATGATTTTGAACCTCTTCAAAAATCGTGTGACCCCCTCTTTTTTACGTAAAAAAATGACTATAAAAGGTCTCACTGAACTCATGTATACAGTACTTATAAAATGACTATTCCATTACATTGGAAAAGTGCTAAATTATTTTATGTTCATCGATTTTCTCATACTCTTTTGTACCATGGAGTAACAATCTTATATTTTCTTTGTTGCTTATCTTTACCATGATAACAATACCACTTCCTTTGTCTAAGGCATTGATAGAAATGTCCTTATATTTGGCTTCATTTTTAAGGAATATTTTTAAAAACAAAACACTAAAATATATTTTTTACAGTATCAAGACTTGCAGCCATATCATGTTGCAACACCGGTTCTAGTACGATCAACGAAGTTAAATAATATTGAGCCTGGTCAGTATCTAGATGGGTGACCGCTTTGGAATACAAAGTGCTGTAAGCTTTGATGTGCTGGTAGTGTAATGGATAATGGTTCGAAATTGTAAAGTCGGGTTCTTTATATTCAATTCTGCGTAAATACCCTTGGGAAAGGCATGAACCTATTCTCCCCATGAGCTATGGGTTAATTAGTTGGACTTGTATCAGTAAAACATGACCTACAAAAACTTCTTACAACCTAAAATATTTCATGATTTTAAATAACCGGACAAAGTCGTAAAAATCAATCAATCAATCCACAATATCATATGATAATTGAATTTCGGATCTCAACAAATACGTTATGGTATCGATTAATTTCATTATTTGAGGCTCTTTCGGGGTTTGTCTTAAAAAAGATATGGATTTTAGATGGTAAAATACGATGCCACACACGATTACAGTCAATTTATAAACTCGATGTTGAGTATAAAGTTATATATATATATATATATATATGTGTGTATGTGTGTATGTATGTATCAATGATTTATCATTATATGTCACGTTTGTATGCTACTCAGGAAATGTCGAACTTATTAAAAATTACAATTTTTTTTTTTAGACGGAAGCAAATCAGTAAAATGCAAACAGGTTTTTGCCTTTATTTTTTTTTCATCCTAATTTGGGTTTGATTTATTTTTGTTTTTCCATTCCTCCTCTACGTCTTTTTTTTATTTTCTCTAAAATATAATTAAGAGAAATCCTTCTCTCTCTCTCTCTCTCTCTCTCTCTCTCTCTCTGGTTTCAGACGACAAATCAGTCGACAGATGATAAATGAGATGAGATATCGCGTCGGAAAAAAATGTTTAAAACGAGATTACGTCTCCTTCTCTATTACTGACACAAGGAGGTGTTTCAAACAAACATTAATATGAAGGAGAAGCTGGGAACCACCAAGAAGAAAAGCAGTTGTACTGAAGTTTTAGTTTGTTTTACAAACATATACTCAGGGAGTATATGTTTGCTACGTTTGCTAGTTCACATGAATATAAGCATGGTTATTAACGATATATATATATATATATATATATATATTGATGCATGTTTCATTAAATAAAATAGACAAGTTTTGTTTATTTATTTTAAGTAAGTTCCTTTCATATTGTCTGATGATAAGCTTAATAACATTATCATTGAAAGACGAAAGGAAATCACCAGATTGATACATGTTTAAATCCAATCTAAGCTTTCGGCTTACATAAGCCATTATCAAAGATGACAATTACTTTTCAATATATCAAACAATACACGGACGAAACAATAATGATAGTCTGTTTTTGCTGCATGAAACTTGTCTATATTATTTAATGAAACACGCATCTATGAAAAATTGCTGCCTATATATATATATATATATATATATATATGTACTATATTTCAAAATTTTGAGGCCACCCCTGACATTTTTTAAATTGGTCCCAAAAGTAGGTGTTTTCTACTTTAAATAAGAGAAAAATACTATATATGGTTAAAATTATTGATTTTTTTTAGAAATTTTATTATGACAAAAAGAAAAAAAAATGATTAAATTTTGCTCTCGTCAAAATATCCTTGTTTACCACAGGATAAATTCTTGGCATTCGTTGCAAAAGTTTCTCAAAGTATATGTTTGATAATAGATTCCATTCCTTTATCAGTGACTCTAAGACCTCTTCTTCGTTTTTTTAAACTCTTCTGTCAAGTTCATCCTATGCTAATTATGAGGGTTCCTTCAAACTTTTGAACTGCAGTATATATATATATATATATATATATATGCGTGTGTATGTGTAAAAATTTCAGAGAGATTATATCTGTAAATCGGAATAATTATAGAATTCTATTTCAGAGCACTAGGAATTTGCAGCCCTCAGTAATTACCCAAAGAAGATATATACATAAAAAAACCTCCAATATCCTTATTATTTCTGCCACAATGCTAAGAGAAACACAGAATATGCGACCGCAAAAAGATAACGTTATAAACAGCAATAAATTAGATAAGAACAGGTACATAATACTACTTACTAACTCAATAAGATCTACTATCCAAAACAACGTATCCAATCTAAACAACATCAAAACAATTACAACAGCACCCAAAAGTATTATAGACATGATCAGAACTAAAAATAACCATAACATTCGTTTTTTGTTTTTGTTCAGGAATTATATCAAAGGTAAAATCTGAAGGAAAGAAACTCATTGCAAAAATAAGTTTTCCTTTTTGTTTGTCATTTCAATTTAATATATTTCTTTTTGACACATTCATTTTTATCTCCATTTCATATATATATATATATATATATATATATATATATATATATATAATGGACTCTCCTGTTGTTTTCGACGTATGAGTGTCAAGTAATTCAGTTCCTAGGAAACCACAGCCAGAACCCCCCCCCTTCATATGACTGATGAAGGCTTTCTGCAGAACCAACCACATGAACAGTCGAATACAGAGACCTGGTGCACCACAACGTCCCTAAACGATCCCCGCAGGTTTTGAATTTAGAGTTGTCCTTCTCCAGTTGCCATCCAAGGCTATAGAACCCAATATATATATATATATATATATATATATATATATATTGTTGCTGTCTACTCGATTACCAGGATAACCATCTTTGTACCATAACTACGCATCTGCTGCCAATGCTCGCTCATGGGCTCTGTAACGATTGTTAAACCAGAAAGGCTTTTAAAAGCTCTGTTACACTTGTGATAATAAAATTTATTTTTTCATATTTGTATCCCATTTATTCGTTAGACGATAAAATACATCCGGCAGCAAGGCCTCTGATTGGAAGACAGGAGATGTTGAACCACCACTTAACTGATATTGTTCCCTGACCCGAGGTGGTAGCACCTGCTAGGGTCCCAGCTATTGGCAAATAGTGAACCCACAAACAAATCACCCTGAAAGTATTAAAATATCAGCAATACATTTTATAGAAAAAGTACCAGTAAAGCATTTTTATTGCAAAATGACCAACAATACATTTTATCTGTAGTTGAAGGCATACAACTGCGTTCAAAATATATTTAGTTGAAGAAATAAAATTGTGTTCAAAATATATAGATTTCGGCATTAAATAGTCCATGGAGGTTAATATATAGCTAAACATCAACCAAACAACACGAAAGGACTCTTTCCTGATATTGATCCATATAATATCCTACAATTTCTTAAAGAAATCAAGCTATATTCCCAAATATAACTTCAATAAAACTACAACATAAAATACACATATCACCGCCTCTAGTAATTATGTCCACAGAAACACGTATATGCACAAAATTTGAGTACCATGTATTCGATTGCGAAAGCAGAATAATATATAATATCTTTACTATTTCAGAGATCACAAGAAAATTAAATTTCGGCATTAAATGACCCATAAAGAGTTGATATGCTTTTAAACAAACAAATCAGTCAAGCATGTTTTAGTGATTGATATTATATACCTTTTCCCATGCCTGGTGAGAGTAGTCTTGTTCTTAAATTCCTCATGAAACAAGATACAAATCATGTCTTCCTATTGATAGTAACATTTATATTAAAGTTGATGACCCTGCAATGAAACTTTTCAGCGCAGCTTTTGATCAGCAGACATGACCACACCCTTCACAAACCCATTGAGGAGTGTCTGGGTCAATATAATCTCGATTTCTAGCATTACTTTTTAGATTAGACTAAGTTTTGGCGTATTCACCAGTGTGAAGAATAACGTTAAAAAGTCAAGCCTGTGTCTATCCTTTTTACGTTTTTCAGCATTTATCTCCCAAGATTCCCTTAAATAAACAGGGAAAGTGACCCCCGTTAAGCAAACTTTGAAATATTTACTGTGTTAGTTTTGTAGTTAGTTACCGCTTTTAAGCTCCTCATAGAATGCTTTCTTAGGCAAACGATCATTCCCAAGTCTTACCAGACGCCCTGCCATGTCCATTGTAGTTGATGTTTTCTGGGTAATCTTTTGAGCACCTCCTCCCACAAGTCAACTAGTTTCGCGTAATAAAATAAAAACAAAGCAAATAAAAAAAAAAAAAAAAAAAAACGACAACTGAATTCAATGAGTGATAAGACATGAACCGACTGGATAGTACACGTCTTGTTTTTTTATTCCTTTTTTTTTTTTAACAATGTGAATTGCATCCACCGGCTGTAAGAGTTTTAATAAAGTAATAATAAATGTGCCCTTTGTAAAAGCTACGTTATATGCCTGTGCTATAAGTAAGAGAAACCACTGCCTGATTCGGCATACTTTACACGGCTCGGCCAAAGAGAGCTTCATAACCCAGCAAATTCTATTACTTTTTTCAAGTAATGCACACCCTCTCGTTCAGATCTTCTCGAAAGACCATATATACTGGAAAAAGTCATTATGTGCTAACTTTATTTTAGTATCCAAAACGTAAACAGAGTAATTTGTAAAGAAATTATATATATATATATATATATATATACACGCATATGTATACACACACACACACACACATATATATATATATATATATATATATATATATATATATATATATACACACACATATATATGTATACACACACAGCCATACATATATATTTAGGCAGCATATCTTCATTCAAACATGTTTCATTGAATAATATAGACATATATTGTGCCTACTTATTTTTATACTGGCCCTTTACTGTTGTCTAATCAGTTTCGTCGATGTTAAGATGAAATTCATCAAGGAAGGCGTCGTATTTTTTTTTTAATCCAAGTACTTTCGATCTTTTCTAAGATAATCATCAGGGGTAAATTACGATATTGAGTCACCCCCCCACCCACGAGGGTGTCATGTGGCACAAGGCCTTTTTAACGTGGGCATTCCGAGCCCGTTGGCTCGACCAAAAATATGCCCATTGAACCCGTATAAACGGGTTCAGGGCCGGTTTTACCTCCCCGAAGGAGACTCCGCCCTTCGGCGTAGCCTCCTTCGGGTTCCTCCTGTCCGTAGGAAGAGAGTTCAACCGAGCAGTCAGTTCAAAAGTGAACGACTGACTCACCGGGGT